GATTTTCCCGAACCGTACTCCCGCTTCCGTCGCTATCAGAAGGATCAGAAGAATCGTTCCACGCTCGCTCGTTTTCGATGTTGTGGTACGCCGGTGTGAAAAACTGTCCCGGAAAGCTCATCCACTATTCTTCGTACCGTTCGACCAAGGAAGTTGTTTCCCGGCCAGACCCCCAATTTGTGGAAAGAAAGGCGCGCCCTAGGAGTTTTCTTGCACTTCTCCGCTCCGCAACGCGTCCTACTCCGGTTTTGTTGTCCGGGGTAACTTGCTTGATGGTCTTGTAGGTAGGTAAACTAGTTCTCTTCTATTGATCTTTTGTAGGTAATACTCTAACTCTATTCTATCTCTAACAATTCTTTAGGCTAATACACGATTCACTCCTAAGTCACTCTGTTTTTCTGATATGTTCCCCCGTCCTCCCTCTCCCCCCTCTCTCTCCTCTTCTGCCTCGAACTCCTCTCCTCCTCGGTATCCCACACTCCAGTCCCTTCCTACTTCCCGCGATGTCATCCGCTGTCACCCCCTCGGACTCCGCATGTCACCCCTCCGACGCCTGTCGGTCCAAGTACTCCTCCGGCCGCTCCTAGTAGGTCTCCCACCGCCGCTTCCGCCTCTGGTCCGCTCCGAACCCCGCTTCTGCCCCTCGGTGCTCCCCGCTCTTTGTAGCCTCTCCGCAGTATACACTGAACCCCCGTTCCGCAGTCGGCCGTGATCCCCGGCGTCCGCCGATGCCCGAATTCCCCGCAGTAAGCTTTTCAGAACCTTGTGCATTCGGTCTACCTTTCTCCGCTTTCCCGCGCCTCGGAAAGCTAGACTTTCCACTAATGCACGGCCGCTTTCCTCAGCCTGCTTGTGTAGCGTCAGCTCCGCGTGCTTTCCGCATCAGCGCCGCGAGCATTCCGCACGCCCCAAACAAACCGGCCAAAGCTTTGGCCAAGGCGCGCTCCCGCCACCACAGCGGGTGCGGATTTGGGTGCGGATGCCCCCTTCCCCCTGGTATCCTGGCGGATATCCGGGTATCCCAAGGGATATCCGACCATACAGGAGGCCTTGGGAGGGCCACAGGCTGTGAGAAACAAAAGAAAAAATGGAAAAAAGGAAAAATAAAAGAAAAAATGGGGCCTTAACAAAAAAAACATGGTTTTTGCTGCGCGCACTGCGCAGCAGACACATTTTTTAATTAATTTTTTACTGCTTGTTTTTTATTATTTTTTGAAATTTTAAATTTATTTCTTATGTTTTAAAGTGCGTAGAATTTAATGGTAAAAAGCATTTTACATAAACATTAATGGTTCTTTTTGAATAATGCAATTAGACACATTTTTTCAATTAATTTTTGACAGATTAATAATTAATTTTCATTATTTTTTCCCTTAATTTATTTTAATTAATTTTGCTAGCTTAATTTCCATCATTTTTTGAAATTTTGAATTTATTACTACACTTTGAGTAGTGTCAAAGCTTATGGTATCATTTATTTTGACGAGAAATGAAAGCTTCAATCTTAATATATGAGTGTACCCCATTTATTGCATAATTAAATTATACAAATTATGATAATTTGTACCGTATACCAGTTTTATTTGTATGCAAAGTTGATATAACCATCCATTTTCAAAAAATAATGAAATTTAATCCTGTAAAAATTTACATGAGTTAGCTGCAAGAAACAAAAAAAAAATTGCAAAGGAAAAAGGAATTAGATTTTTTCCATATTTTTGGGAGGGTCACAGGCTGTGAGCAACAAAAGGAAAAAAAATAATAAAAAATAAAAAATAAAATAAATAAATAAATAAAAAACAAAAACTTAAAACCACTTTGCCAACTGCTCAACAAAAAAAAATTCAAAAGCAAAAAGAAATATAATTTTTTCCATTTTCCATATTTTTTGGAGGGTCACAGGCTGCAAGCAGCAAAGGAAAAAAAAATGAAAAAAATAAAAATAAATTGAAGGCTTGAAGGCCGCAAGAAATTCAAAATCAGTGTTTATGCAGCTTTCTGCATCTGAAATTTCCCCAAGAAACTTTCATTTTGCAGCCTGGGGGTCATTTTTGGGGTGGATATCCGCGCGGATACCCGCCAGGGCCAGCGGGTATCCGCCAGGGGATGCGGATGCGGATGTCTGATTTGGCTGAAAACGTGAGGGGATATCCGAATCCGAACGGATATCCGGATGCGCCGGGCCCATCTCTAGCTTACCTTGGTGGTCTTGTTTTCTGATAATATAGAAAGGCAGAGTTTGCAGCTCATTTCATCCCTTTCTCCATTCAGAAAAAAGGATCTTACAATCACTTTTTGAGTCTACATCGGGACAAGAGGCAATAGAATTGTTTTTTGTTAAATTGCTGATGGTCACGCTACAGATCAAATGAAGGTTCCTTACGAATTTGGTGGAGCATTCTTGTGAGCTTTCAAATCATCAAATGAGTCGAAGCTGCTGCTCTGTTCTACCTCAGGTTCTCTATCCATTCGGAGATGAAGAAAAGTTTTGTTGGTGGACCGAGGCAATTATGTCAGAATCATCCCAGCCGATCCAAACTGGAGTACCCTTGCTATTCTATACCTACGCGTCGCTCATCATATTTGATGAGTCCCTGGATTTAAAAGCAAAGCCAATCCGGTGGAAGCATTATGTAACTATTGCCATCAATTGTAGTGCATCTTTCAGGGGCTACTTACAGGGTTGACTCGACCCGCTCAGTGAAGCTGTAGCGTTCAAGAGGATTGGTTGGTTGCTCATAATAAGCGCCTGTAGTTTCTCTGGATGTTTTGCTTTTTAATTTGTTACTCACGCCAGGTGAATATTTTCTTGCGCATTGGGTACTCGCTTGAACAATCTCGTGCTTGAAGATTCGATTGAGATTGCTGTGATGAGTACTATCAGGGCTCCGTAAATGGCCAACGTTCTGGGATAAATAATCATCCTATTTTGTTTTTGGTGATAGATCTTTTTCATGAGTGGGTATACTAGAACCAAATAGCTAGGAAATCTCGAATGCCTCTGCTATGTTACAGTTCATTCAAGAAGGAGAAATTGTCTACGGATGACCGACGAAGAAGTTGTGCTGCTTGGCAGCAAAATTGTGCTTGATTCCAAACAGCAAAACTAAGGAGGACTTAGTAACATCGACAGATTTGGCTTGGGAGCAGGCCTGAAGCCACATGCGTCTCTGCGTTCCGACTGCCCCCACCTGTTTTGACGGGACCAGACATAGCTGTCCATCCGACCTGTGGCAATGTGTTTGCATGAATATGATGTTTGATGCTTTGGCCTGCTCTGCCGATAACGGGGAACTGCGACCGAGTATACTCAACAAGACTTGTAATCAACTGCTGTGAAGTGGGAGGAGTCAACTGATTTTTTTTTTTTTTTCAAGTGCTATTGATTTCACATACCGCACTATAGTGTATATCATCTGTATGTACAAAAAAAAACCGTATACCAAAATGGGCAAAAAAATTATCTGTATTTTATAGGGAGTTGGTCAACCGACTCCCAAAAATTGGAGAGTCGACTCCCAAACCCGGGTTTCCCCGAAATTCGGGAGTCGATTCCCCAAATCCATCCTTGGGTTTGGGAGTCGGTCCCCCCAAAAAATTTAAATAAAAAAAAAGAAAAACCCCGGAGGGGTCGGGTGTCGATGCCCCAAAACCAAGTGGTTTTGGGGGGTCGGTGATCAAAAAAAAAAAAAAAACCAGTGGCCGGGAGGATTCCTCCCGGCCGCGGAGAGTGCTCTCTCAACGGCCGACGAAAGTGTTCTCTCAGCCGTCGAGGGTC